GGTAGGGGTGATAGATACTGTCATATATATATATATATATATATATATTTATATAAATATATGTATATATATATATATATATTTCTGTAAATTATAAATACGGTGAGAAGGTCGCGTATCTAGTGCATGCGTAGATAGGTATACTACGAACTTTCCAGAGTACTTTTTTAAACGCTGTAGATGTAGTTATCCCTTGACTTCTTTTTACACTTCGCATAACTAAAGGGCCTTCGCGTGTTTCCTGCGTACAGAACGTTGCTCGTCTTAGCTGACGATTATGATGTTGAGAAGCCAGAGGATGCCAGTTGGCAATCTGTTACATCTGGAGGCGGGGTACTGTTTTTTGATGCGTGTGGGAGTGCGTGCTACTACATTCTGGTGAGCGCCTATGGCATCACAACCGTGATGGCTCTAGCATTAGCCATCGCCTTCCGGCGTATAAAAGCACTCCACTTGTACTCTAGATACACCAATATACTGCTCGGTATGTCCTTTTCGCGTCAAAGATTTAGATGTAGTCGCAATTCACGAAGATTTATTCGATGAATTGACGAGCATCCTTCAGGGCTATACCTGTCATTCACTCTGTAAAGTAATATATATATATGAATTGCGTATGGATAGTATATATACATTTATATACCCGTTGTATTGCTTAAATGTTCTTTTTTTCTGCACCCCGTAGGTATCGCCCTGATCACAACCCCGACTGTGCAATGCGCTTATCTGACTTCAGTATACCTGAACGGCTCCTCGATTCTTACGACAATATTATCGTTCCTAGATGATATGGGGATCTACTTCCTGTTTTTCTGCGTGTTCCTGCGCCAGTATCAGCTATATCGAATCTTGTGCACAAAGAAGAAATCGAGATGGTAAGGTAGTACAGTTGTGATGTGTTTTGTGCCCAAGCATGTAACGCAAGGATCTGTAGTGGTTTGCCATTGGAGCTGTGTATATTATGAATGGTGATATTCTATGACAGCTTGCTTCTTCGTGGAGTTGTCTTGCATATCAGTACCAGCACACGTTCACCTTCGGGCAATGGGTCAGGTGTGTCGATACGTTCGAATATTACTAAAGCCGATGCCGCTACTGAGAGACGTGCGTCAGTGTATGTTTGCTTTGCACATCTGCATCTGCGTATACATAAAATTACACACACAAACAATGATCTCTGTCACTTATTTGGTTTGTTTGGCATGCCAACGCGCGAACGGTTATTCTACCAAGTATAAGGAAACCTGTATGAATGAATCGCTGATAGCGATAGCTCTGCGCATCTGCTACCACAGTATAAAGGTGACCGTCCGCTTCCTGATTGTCTACGCAATAGCCATATTGGTGGCCCTGACAGTCATTCTGCTGTGCGAATTCACGGATTCCTGTCCCCTCTGGGCGTTTGATATCTATTATTTCTTACCTGGTATCATATTAGGTATGTTCACCAACGAGTATGTGTAGAGAGATTGCTATGTAAGTCATACAATGCATGTGTATTCGGTATATTATTGAGCATTTCCAATAATGAGTCTATGTGTAGAGATCATCGTATCATACCAGTTCAACTCTCTGTGTATATACATATTTGGTATCGTATCGGGCCTGTTTCGAAAATTCTTCGATTTATAAAAACTGCTCCAAAATCGTCTACCATATCTCCTTAGCTGTAGGTATACGTGTAGTCCTTTATCCCGTTCAGCGAAAAGCACGCTTGGGGACTATTCAACACAAGTCAACCCTACCTATTTCGGCCAACACGCATATTATATATGCATGGTACACCCAATGCGCTTTTTCATATCTCTTATGTTTCTCTCCACTTTTGAAACGCTCGGAACAAATCTGTGAACCCGAAACCCAACAATTCAAATCCAAACCCTTTTCCGATCGCCCAGTTTGTTGTTCCTGCTATTGCTGCTGGAAAATGTGGGTAAGTATTGTGTTCAAAGCAGATGATTGGGTTATGTTGATATTCCTTGTTGTTAGTTGTTCGAGGTTTTAGTTGTTCGAGGTTTTAGCCTAGGCTATACTCATTGTTTTAATAGCTATGTTCAAATTTCATATTCCTCGTCTTTATAGTATCTAATGTCGTTGGCAATTTGCATGTTAAACGTTCATATTCCTTGTCGTTAGGAGTTTGAGATTTTAGCCTAGGTTATACAGATAGACGTATCTCTTGTTTTGATAGCTATGGTAAACGTTCATATTCATTGTCTTTAGGGTTGTAAGGTTTTATCGCATGTATACAATAGTATCCAATGTCGTTGACAGCTAGTATGTTAAACGTTCATATTCCTTGTCGTTGTGGTTTGAGGTTTTAGCCTAGGTTATACAGATAGCCGCCATTCTCGTGTTTTAATAGCTATGTTAAACGTTCATATTCCTTGTCTCTAGAGCTGTAAGGTTTTACCGCATCTATACGTTAGTGTCCAATGTCGTTGGCGGCTAGCATGTCCCAATGCGGCTGTTCCATGCCATACACCTATGAAATCAAGCCGTACTTCAGTAGCCTGGAAAATCAATAGATCAACTCACATCACTACCATTTTTACCTTTCCCGCGGCAGAACTATATTGCCGTGGTATGGTATTGTTTTATCTGTGACACACCTGTACCTAAGTAATACTAACCGTACTATATCCGCTTGTTCCCTTTGTTTCTATTCGTTCGTATCCTTCAGGCCGTCTCCTTTGTCTTCCGTGATCAGCATGCCTTGATGCGCTTGACAACGGTTGCGATTTTTACGATGTTTGTGGCGCTGTCCCAGATTTTTCTGAGTACCATCGCCGGGGAGATTATCTATTATTGCAACATTCTGCTCGCTATATGGGTAATGGCAGCTGAGGTGAGTTTTATTGTTGTGGTTATTCTGTATGAGCTATTAGTATTTTAATAGGGTTTAGGTACGTGTGGATATACTCTGGGAAACTCAGTATGTGGTGATTTTAAAAGTTCTCGGAGGCGATAGCACGCATTTCATCACCGCAACACAATCGTCTCTGCATTGGTGACGGCATTTGGGCAAGGGTTATTCTGTCATTATGGATATGGAGTATATAGAAATTATGTTTGGGTGGATTCACTATGGGAAGATCTGGATGCTTTCGATAGGTGATGGCTTTCGATTGTTCGGAGGAGAAATCCTATAGTGCTGCAGCACAGTTCCTTCACTCTGTATGGGTATTTGCCGGTGGCCCAGGCATGAAATACCTTGCTATGTACAGCAATTGATGTGCGCAGTGATATACATGCGGTAGGTTTTCATGAGTAAGCTTTGCTTACAACGCTCAGCTCATGTATGAATGCCTTGTATATGCAGCAGCATCTTCAGAACCCGCATCCTTATCACAGACCGTTCGCTAGTATACTGCTGTGTTGGATGATATGTGTTCCTGTTAACGATATAAGAGATTGTAATCGCCATTCGATAACACAGGTTTTCATTAACTTAACCTTGGTACAGACACAAGGGTCGTATCTGGTCAATCACATGTACAGACACTACAAGGGGGTGCCCCTTTTTGAAGAAAACGTCATTCTCAAGGACGTGTTCACGATACTGGACGGTAGCACGGTATGCGTGTTGTTAGCGCTGCAGCAATTGTTTCCAAGTTTTTAGAACGTGGCTATGCATATCTGGCATAGCGAGCCTTATTGTTTTGTTGGCGCACGAATGTCTGAGGGATTTTGTTAAATCGTAAGATCTACTGGGCACAAAGCGTTTGAAATAATACGAGTTCTAATTGTTGTATCCAGAGTTCATATGTACGAATATATATATATATATACACACACACATATATATATATATATATATATACTACACATATATATATATATATAGTATATATATATATATGTTATATATATATA